AAATATAAATCTCATGCCGTATCTGAGCAAAAGTAGTACGTCCTGTGGTATGAGCTATGCCGTGAGCTCGTCGATTTTTAGCGTTCCTAGTTGCAATTTTCTATAATAGGTTCAACAAATGTAAGTATATAAATATGATTTGTATGTTTACATATCATACATATAACTTATTTGTATACCTCAGCATCGGAAGTACGCCAATAGTCCACAAGTTCTTCCCACTGGCTTGGAACAATGTGCAAAGGAACATCATCCTTTAGATTAGGATCTTCACTTCTAGGCTTGAAATAGTTAGACTTAATCTTATTCTTGTGATCCTTCCATATGCTGTTACAGTTTTTCATGTAGATTGGCTTGTACTCCTCTGGACATATATTCAAATTGTCCTATAAATCACAATTTCAAGGTTTAAATAATAATAACACAATTTTGGAATTTAAATTTTTGGACAAAAATATACTTTTACCTTCACATCCTTCCAGATAGCATCAAGAATATCATCAGGCACAGTGTTCCAGTCAAGAAAAGTAAGAGGAACAATGTTACCATTTCGCACAATAATGCCAAGTTGAGTAGTTAACTTAGACACGTTATCCCCTATTGGGCAGTAATTTTCATCAAATTGTATATCCAACTTGGTACCAGTACCCCACTCCCTAATGCCCTTGGCACATCCTCTACCACGCCTACTCGAGGTTGATGAAGAACTAACATGACCTGTGAGACACAATAAGAATAAACAATATGCAATGATAATAAACAAATGCAAATTTAAATAATGTCAATACAAATCAATTTCTTATACCTGAGTGAGGCTGTGAAGAAGTCGAAGGATCTGAAAAATACAATGAAAATAAACAAGTTATATGTAATGAGAACAAATAAATATATATTTAAATAATTTTCATACAAATCAAAGCAAATTTATATACCTGCGGATGGCTCATAAGCCGATGACTCTAGTCAGGATGATAGCTGCTGCGGTGCCACTGATGGTGGACGCACCGATGGTAAGCCTAGAGGCTGAGTAGCTGATAGCTGGTGTGGTGCCACTGATAGGGGTCAATGCGGTGGCACTAATGGTCCCTCTGATGGTGCTCGCTGTGATGCCTCCTCTAATGGTAGCTGCTGTGGTGCCACTAAACCCGATGGTAGGCCTAGAGGCTGAGAAGATGATAGCTGGTGTGGTGCCACTGATGGGGGTCGATGCGGTGGCACTAATAGTGCTCGTTGTGATGCCTCCTCTAATGGTGGTGCCACTGATGGTGGACGCACCGATGGTAAGCCTAGAGGCTGAGTAGCTGATAGCTGGTGTGGTGCCACTGATGGGGGTCGATGCGGTGGCACTAATAGTGCTCGTTGTGATGCCTCCTCTAATGGTGGTGCCACTGATGGTGGACGCACCGATGGTAAGCCTAGAGGCTGAGTAGCTGATAGCTGGTGTGGTGCCACTGATGGGGGTCGATGCGGTGGCACTAATAGTGCTCGTTGTGATGCCTCCTCTAATGGTGGTGCCACTGATGGTGGACGCACCGATGGTAAGCCTAGAGGCTGAGTAGCTGATAGCTGGTGTGGTGCCACTGATGGGGGTCGATGCGGTGGCACTAATAGTGCTCGTTGTGATGCCTCCTCTAATGGTGGTGCCACTGATGGTGGACGCACCGATGGTAAGCCTAGAGGCTGAGTAGCTGATAGCTGGTGTGGTGCCACTGATGGGGGTCGATGCGGTGGCACTAATAGTGCTCGTTGTGATGCCTCCTCTAATGGTGGTGCCACTGATGGTGGACGCACCGATGGTAAGCCTAGAGGCTGAGTAGCTGATAGCTGGTGTGGTGCCACTGATGGGGGTCGATGCGGTGGCACTAATAGTGCTCGTTGTGATGCCTCCTCTAATGGTGGTGCCACTGATGGTGGACGCACCGATGGTAGGCCTAGAGGCTGAGTAGCTGATAGCTGGTGTGGTGCCACTGATGGGGGTCGATGCGGTGGCACTAATAGTGCTCGTTGTGATGCCTCCTCTAATGGTGGCACTAATGGCCCTTCTGATGGTGGTCGATGTGATGCCTCCTCTGATGGTGGTGCCGCTGATGTCCTCTTA